AGGAGGATGGAGGAAGAGAAAGCCTCTCTGGCAGGTGACTGTTCAAGGAGTAATTCTGGAGGATCCAGGAAGAAACAAAGGCAGCATATGTCTGAATGCACCACACCTCCAACTAACCAGGAACAGGCCCTCCTCCCTCTCCCCCAAAGAGCCACCTTCCTATTAAAGAGCACCTAGGAGCAAAAGGGAGAACAGCTGCCTACAAATAACAAGGGCTGGAAGCAAAACCCCTCCTCCACGGTTTCCCCCCAGGAGGACAGCATCTGTTCACCATGGCTACCCCATCACACCTGAACTAGTTGCACACCACGCCGTGCCAGGCGGCACAAAGGGAGGAGCGGGTTTGATAGCAACGGGGCACAAGTTCCAGGAGGCTCCCTGCCAGTTCAGCTGCATCCCCAGCCGGATTTCTTTCTTCCTAGGGAAGGGAAGCGCCCCTGGGACCGAACTGCACGCCCGGACTAGCACGGCGAAGGTGGGAAGCTATCAACACCGACGGAGGCCACTCGGAGCATTTAAAAGCAGCCGGCAGAACTCACTGCTGGAGCCCACAAGGCCAGGCAGCAGCGCTAAGTCAGCTGGAAGCCCACCCGCCTCCTCCGCCTCCCCCCAAGGCCGCCTCTGAGCGAAAACCGCCGCAATCCACGAGCAGGAGCCGCGGAGCCGGCTCCGTCCTGATGCCCGAGACAGACCCACGGTGGAAGGGCTGCCACGACCCTGCCTCCCTGCCTGCAGCCCACCGGCCCCGCAGGAACCTCCGGCCCGAGCATCGCAGCCCAGCTGCGGCCAGTCTCCCAGGGGGAGACGCCCGATCCGGGGGGGGAGGGGAAGGGAGAGGGAGAGGGGGGGGGGAGAGAGAGAGAGAGACAGCGCGGCTGCCCGGAAGGTCGACCCGCCGCCCCGCCGCGTGCATGGGCCTCTCCGCCCGGCGAGGAAGGGAGCGGGCTCCGTGGCGCCAGGGCCGCCCTCCTTGTCAAAGGGGCTGCGCCGCCGCCGCCGCGGGATTCTCACCGGCTCCTCCTCGCCGCCGCTGCTGCCGCTGTCCCCCAGCAGGCTCTGCAGGCGGCGCCAGCTCCGGCTGAGGCCCAGCAGGCTCCCCAGGGTGGTGTCCCCCGTCGTCGTTGTCGTCGCCGCTGCCGCCGCCGCCACGGCCCGCTCGCCCTCTCCGGAGGCGGCCCAGAGCAGCAGCTGCGGCGCCAGCAGTGAGATCCGCGCGCGGCTACCGGCTCCGGCTCCCCGCGCGCGGCACCCGCCGGGTCGTCCCGGAAAGCGACCCCGCGGCACCCAGGCCCAGGAGGAGGAGGAGCCGCCGCCGCCGCTACCGCCGCCGCCTCCTCCCGCCGCCGCCGCAGCAGCAGCCGCCGCCGCCGCCATCTTTAAACACTGAGCGGAGACTAGGGGGCCGGGCCACCACAATAACAATCCTCCACCAGCGCCTCCAGCTCGCGGCGCGAGGCAGCCTGGGAGTCCGAGTCCCGCGTCGGACAGCGGTGCCCTGAAAGAACGAGGAGGGGGCGAGACTCCGGGACCGCGATTCCCGGCGGGCGCCGCGGGCCGGAAACGCCCGTCTGACGTGGATGCGGATTGTGGGAAAAAGAGTCCTAGTTGGCGCTTGGCCCTCTGCAGTCCGGTTAAGGCCGTGAAAGAAAAAAACTACGTTTCCCATCGGGCACCGCGACTGCACTGACGCTAAACGGCCCTTAGGCATGGTGAACGATTGAGTCGGGTGTAATGGTCGCTCGCCCTGGAGAAAGAGGGAGGTCGGAGGATCTGTTAGAATGTCTGTACAAAGAATAAAATTCGGTCTTTGCCTGTGCTTTACGGCGCAGAGTATTACTGCTCTCTCCATGCACTGTTGCAAGAGAAGTCTTTTAAACAGCTAATAGGAAGTGAATCGCTTTTGCGTTCAGAGATGCAGCTACAAGACTACAGACCCCAGGATGCAGCGCGAGAACCGATTCCCTTTCCGCGAATGCTGGGAATTGCAGTCTGCGTCTAGGCTTTCTGCTTGATGGTGCGATCTATTGCAATGTAAAAACCCGGAAGAAGCTATGAAAGGGTTTTTCCTTTGACAAGCTGCGTGCGGGAATGAGCTTGCAAATTTGCAAATCAACCGTGCAAAGGGCCCCACATGTCTGGGGTTGTGGTGACGGGATATCAAGTCTCGTCCTTCCACTCCTATATTTGCCAGGGTCAGTTTGAGGCAACTCGTGCCTACAAGTCCCAACCAGCTATTCGCCTCAAACATGTCAAAAGTTGAAGAAGAATGAATGAAGACCGCATATCTATCTACTATAAAATATCATAACTAGGCAATTCTGAATTGGGGCATTCTATGTCATTTGCTGTAAAAAAAAGAGGGAGAGCAGATACGTCTGACTTCCTAGCCAGTAGGGGCAGTTTAGAAAGGAGTTTCCCATTTCAGAGCTCAAGGCTATGAGCAAACTAACCAGAAAATGTGCATCCCACACATAAAAAGAACTAAGCATTCAGGCAAAATCAAATATCAACAAATGCCCCAAATAATTTTGGCAATAAGAGAAAAAACGTTATTATGATCGACATAGAGTTCAAGCTGAAAGTTTATTATCCAGACTGGCAGTCATTAAGTTAAAGAAGATCGCTTTCTGCCACCTTATTTTCAACTTGTGTCAACCTTTTGGCCTATGATTGCTACTCAATGCAGTTACATTGTAATCCTTTTTATCATCACAATGTTACCTACAGTCTGTGCACACAACACCGGCCTAGTTCAATCCTGCCTTATTTGGATTGTTCTGAATGTAAAGTGTTCCTTGTTCCTAATCAGTTACTGTTCATTGCAACTAAGCCAAATAATTTGTGCACATGTACACACATACAATTATGTACAGTAAGAGTTGCTGCCAAGTAAGGCTATAATGAGTGCAGCATTTCAAAGAAAATCCCCCAAAACAGTGAAACAGCTGACATGTATATTTCATTAAAAAAAAAACAATATTTGATTTTTTAACAGAACATGACAACCAAGAAATAATAAAAGTTAAGCAACCAGCCCTAGGGAAATACAGGTTTACTTTAAAAAAATGAATATTGGAAGTATTTTTGAGATTAAACCTTGAAAACTTTCAGTGGGAAAAATTTTCGTGTCAAGAAATTTTCCACATCAGACATCTGGCATTTTCAAAATAATGTTTTTTTTGTTCAGGTGATTATTTTTAAAAATTGAGAAGAAGTGATTTCCTGCTGTTTCTGATGTAACCAAAATACATGCGCAAGCTATGGATTTTGAGTTGAATATATTAAATGCAATCATATTCTTTGCATAGGAAAGAATTCCAATTCCATTTTTTGGGGTTGGGATGAGAACACATAGTCCAGAAGTAACTTTTGTTTTCCTGACGAAGCCTAATCCATGTTTCTCAACCTTCTCAACCTTAAAATCTGTGCAGGTCCAGAATTCCTTAGCCATCTGGGGAACAATGGCCTAGTCAGAACATTCCTATCATTAGTTTAAGAAAACAGAGGAAGGATGTTGCCTATGGATGAATGAGCTCTGAAGGATTTGGCAGGGGGCTGGACTAAATGATCCCAAAGTCCCTCAATAATACATACAATTTTTCAGAAGAAATTAACATACTGGCAATTCATTTTAAGCAGCAGCCACCTCATTGGAACAGCCAATCTATTAAGGAGCCTCAATTCCACCTGCTTTAAGAAGTGACTGTAATCTTGAGTTTGAGACATTTGGATTAGAATCTTCACTCCTTTAATAGTGCCAGAGAAGAAGGAGGGGGGAAAAGTCACTTTGCAGTGGCCACAAAAACTCATGCTGCAAGTTTGCAATTTTGTATTTCACCAGAATCACTTGGTGATTAGTAAGCTATTCTCTTACTGCCACAGGGAATGTATTTTCTGGAGCTTCAAGCTACAGTAGATTTAGAAACATGGCTTATGCAGTTGATCTGTTTTTGGACATGGAGAACTGCCTGGAACATTAACAAATTACCAGACTTGGGCTGGTTTTAAGCCAAGTTTCCTCCACTCTCACAATTCCTTGCCATCATATAGTACTGGGAATTCTGGGAGCTGAATCCCACTCATTTTGAACTTGCTGAGGAATATTTCCTAAACTAAAACATGGCCATCTATTTGTTGTTGGATAGGATCCTGTGAATTTAAATGGACTCCAGAAGATGGTAGAGGACAGGAAGACCTGGAGGAACGTTGTCCATGGGGTCGCGATGGGTCGGACACGACTTCGCAGTTAACAACAGGATCCTGTGGTTCGGCCTGCTTGGTATAGCATTAACACCTCATTGACTGTGGAAAGTTGGTAAAACCATTAATCTGGGCTTTCATTAAACCATCAATAGAAAATGATGAATAGAATAACAGGTCTTCTAGTCCAACCCGCCCCAAGCAAGAATCTCTATACTAATCTCTTCTTTAAAAATTCCAGTGTGGATGTTATCCGTTCAGTCGTGTTCTACTCTTAGCAAGTCTGTCTATCCGCCAGGTCTCTCCTCATCTTCCAATCCTGAACGACTTTTCTGAGTTTTTTCTATATGCTCTGCCTGGTGTTTTGTCAAGGCCTGGTTTCCTTTTACCACTAACCCTTTCAAATTTAATTGCTTTTCCAGTGAATCACCTCAAGTGACACGGCCAAAATGTTAGGTTAAGCAAATGAAGGATCACAGCCCGCTAAGCCAAGGGAAGGGTGTTTTTTTTTCACCCGCAGAGGCTGGGAGGGCCCAGCAAAACAGGGCCGAGCGGGGCACCCAGAAAATAGAGCGGGCCCTGGAGGAAGAGGGGGCCGCCCGCTGCTAGAGAGGGCCTGGCCGGACGGAGGCTCCCGGCCGAGCCAGCGCGCTCCCCCCGCTGTTCCAAGGACGACTGTCACCAGCGGCGGGGCCGACGCCTTGCAGCCGCCGCTCCTGCCGCGGGGCGGAGCGCCAGCAGCCAAGAGGCCGCGCCAGCCCGGAGCGAGTGAATCAGGTAGGAGGCTGGCGGCCCCTTCGGCCGTAACCGCCCCTTCCCCCTGCCCTGCCCTGCCCTGCTCCGCCTTCCCGGAGCGAGAAACCAAAAGAGACGCCTCCCTTTGCGCTCCGCTGGCTCCCCGCTGAAAATGTCCGGGTTTAGTTTGGATCTGGGGCCCGTCAAGGAGCCGATCGGCTTCATCAAATTCCTGCAATGGGTAAGTGAGCGGTCGCGGCCGGAGGCGCCCAGCCACCAGGGCCTCGGTGGGCTGCGCAGCGCAGAGCCAGGACGCCGCGCAGGGCCTGCAGCCGGAGCGGGCTCTCTCCACCCCCCCCCCCAGGGTTGAAAACAACGCAAAGGAGGCAACCGGGGGGGGGGAGGGGGGTGCCACGCACGCGTGCATGGCAGGAGCGCGCGTGCAATCCGGGTTGTGCGATTTCCCACTCCCCCCGCCGCGCCTGGGGGAGGATCGTGGGTGTTTTCGGCGGGAGTTGCAGCCAGTTCCTTTCCCCCCCCCCCTTGTCCCGAGCAGGATCGGGTGAACTTTCCTCCCGCCCGCTCTGCTTTTGCCCGATTCAGCGCCTCCGCCTGCATTTTCCCCCTCTATCTCCCACCCTTCCTTTCCCGTTGCTCTCCCTTCACCCGCCCGCCGGATTTATAAACACAGGCGTGGCCTCCGGGCTGCAAAGTTTAATGCTTCGATTCCTTCTAGGAAACGTATTATGGCTTTTCCACACCCTAATCCTCCGGCGGTCTATTTTTGGGAGTTTTTCCTCTCTCCCCCCCCCCCCCGCCTTCGCAGCATACCGTAGTTGTGCTGTGTTCGCCCCGCAAGCCACGTGCCTAAGCCGTGCAATCTGCGGCGAGAGATCCGCGGTTCCAACGGGTCGCTCTTAAATCCACTAAAAATTCTGCCTGAATCGGTTGGGGTTCCCCCCCCCACGACTGACATCGTTCCCAGGAACACCAGATCCAAACTGCCCGTTACGTTGCTGAAGGAATCCAGATGGCTTATAAGCGGTCTGGGGCTAATAGCTGAAAATGGGATCTTTAGCGAAAGGGGGGGGGGGTTGCAAGAGAAAACGACCGTGTGGGGTCTGATTCAGGGGGCTGTGGGGGAGCGCAATTGGTATCTTCTCCGAAGAGGCTATTGTGTAAGTTTATTCGTGGTGGGGGGAGAGCAAAATGGCACCTATTGCTACCAGATGGTGTCCCTTTCAAGGGAAGGCTGGCTCTTGTTTGTGTTTCCTGTACTGTAGTCTGATTTATTGATACAAGGCTGAGGGACTGGCTGCTGACGATTCGACTCGGGGTACAAACAGCTTAGCCAATAGAAGAGAGGTGTTTGTAGTTTACACTTGAATTGTGTAGTAGTCCATGGTACTCTCTGAGCTTGGTTGTTTTCTTAGTTTCATTATCCAGTTAGACGGGGTAATGAAAAGTCTGCAAGAAAACATGCAGGTTCGGAAAGTACCAAGGACGCCACGTAATAATAGTTGTATTTTTCAAACTTGGCAACTTTAAGATGTGTGGACTTCAACTCCTAGAATTCCCAGGCAGCAGTTGAAATCCGCACATCTTAAAGTTGCCAAGTTTGAAAAAAGACCCATAGATATATTGAGGGGTAAGATGACTGGTTTGGTGATTAAAAAAAAAATATCCCAATGTCTGAATTCTGGGAAAGAAAGTATTTGAATATTAATAAAATCCCCAGTGTTTATTTCTTTGGGAATTTGGGGGCATCTTAAATACAGATAGATTGATATCTCTCATGGAAGCACATAATCAGATTCTTTAAAACTGCACTGCATTATAGTTCATAGTACACTTAGTCCTTGACTTACAACTGTTCATTTAGTGACTGTTCAAAATCACTGAAAAAGGTGATTTATGACTAATCCTTGTACTTATGACTATCAGAGTATCCCCATGGTCACATGATCAAAATTCAGGCACTGGACAGTTAGCATTTATTTAGAATGACTGCAACATACCAGGGTCCTGATCGCTATTTCTGATTTTCCCAGATGGCTTCTGACAAGCAAATGGGGGAAGCCAGGTTCACTTTATGACTGCCTAATTCATTTAACTGTAATTCATTTAGCAGAATCAGGTGTGCCTCACTTAATAACTGCCTTGCTTAGCAACAGTAATTCTATTCCTAATTGTGGTTGTAAGTTGAGTATTACCTATAGTTAAAACTGTTTTAACGAGAAAGAATTCTTAAATGATCGATTCTGCCTGGAGTCTTCCAGTAAAATAATGGAGTAGCATGTTCAAATGCTTCCCTAGGTAAACCACAAACAGATGCACCAAAACCTGACATGTCATTGTTGCATCTTTAGAAAGCTGTACCAATGCGGTTTGTGAGAAAGGCATTTGAGCATGAGTAAGAGTGTGATACACCCAAATACTTGAGTACAGTATCTGATTGTTGATCATTGCTTTGATAGGGTTCTCTTTTTAATATTATATTAATTCCATAAGTCTTTCAAACGGAACAGGGTAGGGATTGTGGTGATTCATAAGTACTACCTTAGGGAAACCTGAGATGCTAGATTTCTGTTGAACATGCTCCTCCATGATGTGAATTCAGATCGCTTTCAGTTCCACTTAGCATGGCTAATGGTCTGAACTATACAGGCTGGGGTTAATGGGTATTGCAGTCTTTGGTGGGTGCTGATTATCAAATTGCTGAGAATAATCAGAATTGAAGTCGCCATGAATGATGAAGGTCCTTACTTTCTTCCCATGGCCAAGTCATGATGGGGATGGTCTTTTTCAATAAATTGGAGGGCACATGATTAGAAAACGTATAGAACAGTGGTGGCGAACCTATGGCATGCGTGCCAGAGACGGCACTCAGAGCCCTCTCTGTGGGCACACGTACCATGCCCTGGAGATGGCAACTGTCCCTCTTCAACCAACCGCCCGCTAACTCACCGAGGTCCCACATGGCCAGATGTATCCCACATGGCCAGATGCATCCCAACACGCTGTGTGCGGGGCCCAATGGTGTCAGGCAGCAGTCGCCCCAGCCCTGCCTTGCCTTGCCCTGGGACAATGGCACCCCTGCCTCACCTTGTCTTGTCTCACCCCGCAGGACGAGCGTCCTGCCCATCGCCCCACCTGCCAGAGACCCCCTGGATCTCCTCCAACCCTCCCCACGAGCAACATCAAGGTAACCATACCCACCCAGTCTGCCATGACCACCACAGCCACGTCAACCCAGTAGGCCACGCCCACCTGGCACCCGGTGATAAATAAGTGGTTTTGGGTTGCAGTTTGGGCACTCAGTCTCTAAAAAGGTTCGCCATCACTGGTATAGAGGTAGACTGTGAATCAGATGTTATGGAATTGTTCAGGCTAGAGAGGAGGTGATGCTCACATCCAAGGCTTTGTCTTGTGCTGTAAAGATAAGATAAGATAAGATAACCTTTATTGTCATTTTTTTACTATGGGCACAACGGCACACATCAAAAATGAAATTTAGTTGCCCGCTCTCAAAGAAGAACTACTGTAGATAAACACACCTGGATTATAACTCACCAGCATCACCACCAGTGACAGAAATAAGAAAATGTGGTCCAAAACATCTGGAGGCTGAGTTCAACATAGTGTTCGTTCAACCTTTGCAACTTTAAGATCTACTTGTGGACTTCAGTTCCCAGAATTCCCCAGCCAGTAGGAGTTTTAACATCAGGGGTAGGCAACCTTGGCTTTCTCAGGAATTCTGGGAGTCAGAATTGCCTACCCCTGAATTCTGGTAGTCAAGGTTGCCTACCCCTGAGTTAAACCATTTGAAAAGGACCAAGGCTGGGTTGTATACTCTGTGCTTCTGGCCATTTCAGCATAGTTGTTCTGAAATGCAGACATGGTTCAACAGGCTTTCCTTCTTCTGAAATATGATTCATTATTTTCAGGCCCATTGATTTTCAGTGGGATTAAATATGAGTGATGTAATCTGCGTCCAAATCATTACATCCCCTTCTTATTTTCGCCTTGTCTATTTCTGAGAATAAAAAATGGTGTGGGAGGTGGCGTGGGGGAGCTATTTAAGCCTCCTTGAGCTCCTTAAAGAAAGCACAGAGTTTTTAAACATAATAGGGACCCAATTTTTGGAAGAAGAATTCTTCTTTTCTCATGGAAAAGAAATGCCACAAGCAAGTATACATTTGTATTCAGGTAATATATGCTGCCTCATTAGCACTAGCAATAGCACTTAGATTTATATACTGGTTCGTAGTGCTTTACAACCTTCTCTAAGCAGTTCACAGAGTCAGCATATTGCCCCCCAATAATCTGGCTCCTCATTTTACTGACCTCGGAAGGGTGGAAGACTGAGTCAAACTTGAGCTGGTAAGACTTGAACTGCCAAATTGCTGGCAGTCTGGCAGAATTAGCCTATAGTACTGCATTGTAACCGCTGTGCCACCATGACTCTTAATTGCTGGCTCCTTGGCAATTAATTAGAGGTAGTCCCCAACTTAACGGTTTTGAGGCCAAAATTTCTGTTGCTAAGTGAGACAGTTGCTAAGTGAATTTTGCCCCATTTTATGAACTTACTTGCCACAGTTGGTAAGTGAATCAATGCAGTTGTTAAGTTGGTGGCATGATAGTTAAGTGAATCTGGCTTCCCCATTGACTTTGCTTGTCAGGAGGTCGCAAAAGGTGATTGCATGACTCCAGGACACTGCGACCGTCATAAATATGGGTCAGTTGCCAAGTGTCTGAATTTTGATTATTATGACCATGGAGATGCTGCAACGGTTTTAAGTGTGAAAAACAGTCATAAGTCACTTTTTTTCAGTACTGTTCTAACTTTGGCTACTAAATGAACTGTTGTAAATTGAGGACTAGCTGTAGTTGTTAAATAGTTTGAACAAATACTCTAATTCTTTTGATGTTTGCCTCCCCAAAGGTCCCATTTATGACATTGAAACCAAATGCTTGATATCCTAATTTGAAGCCACTTCCATTGTGTTGGTACAGTTTACAGTGTCTCCTGCTACAGATAGTCCCTGAATTATGACTCTAATGGATCATGCCCATTACAGTCGAAAGTTGGGATGGCCATTAAGTGAATCACCTCACTTAAGGGCCCTGCCATCCTTGTTTTCTCCAGTGCATCTATTAAATGAACATGGGGGTGATTAAGTGGAGCTTGGCATGCTTATTGGGTGTGGAAGACCTAGGGCAGGGGTAGGCAACCTTGGC